CCTGAATTGGCGGTACATTTGTGTTTCACTGCGGCTAATTGCTTGCTATAGCTCGCACGCAGTCAGGGTATGGGCACAGAGGTAAAACGCATGTGGGATAATTCCCACCTGCAGCACAGCCCACTTTATCTCAGCCATCTGCCTGCCTCGCGGCTGTGCCAGAGGGACGGAGCCAACAGGCCTGGAAGGCGGCAAAGAGGGAAGAGAGCAGGGAGCGAAAGGTGGGAGGTGGATGAGGAGGAGCAGGAGACTGGCACACTCTGGGAAGGAGGGGAAGGGACAGGATGGATGAACACACCTGTGGGGAAGGAGGGGAAGGGATGGATGAACGCACCTGTGCAACTCAGAGTGAGTTTCTGTGGTGTCCAAAGTTGCCCATCGTCCTGGTGCTGCCCAGCCCCGCGCTGAGACCAGGCTGTGCTTGGAAGGGCTGTGGGAGTGACACTGGGGTCTCAGCAAGGCTGGGATGGCTGCCCTGTCAGCAGGGAACAGGGAACAGTGCCGGGCTGCCGCCTGGGCACGGTCACAGGGCAGGTCTTCACAGACGCTGGACCCAGCGAAAGGGTGATGTTGGGCATCGTGCTGTGCCCCGCGCAGGGATGGGCACCAATGGGCGTTACCTGGCTGCACGGTGCCAGAGGCACGGCCAAAACTTTGCTGCTCGTTCCACAGATCTACCAGGGCCCAGAGAGCAACACAGAGGTTTGCACTTTCCATCCTGGCGTTCCCGTCTTCCATGAAGGGTAAGAAACCACCCTTCACCAGGGAGCAAACCGACCCTGCTGCATCACAAGGTTGTGTGGCCTCAGCAGCACGGTCAGTGCAGTCCTGGGTGATACCCCTCGGGTGACAGGTGGGCAGGGGGCCTGCTGGCTCTCCGCCTCCCTCCTCCACCACCCCGAAGCCTGCTGTGCTCCCCTCTTCTGCTCCCACGGGCGCTCCCGGCTCAGGTCAGCCTGCTCTCCCCAGGATGAAGTACTGGAGCTGCTGTGGGGTCAAAACGACGGATTTCAGTGCCTTCCTGGAGCAGCCGGGCTGCAGCAGCGGGCAACACAACTGGACGGGGAAGGGGGTAAGGGGACTCTCGGCAGGGGCAACTCCTGTGAGCAAAGTTCCGTTATTGGCACCCAAAGAGTGCTCCTTCCCTTGCTTTGCATTCACACGAGTTTCTGCACTTAATTATCTTAATTTTCATAATTGCCAGCGCTGCACAGGGTTTGAATGTCTCATCTTCACCTCTCTGCTGTTTAAAACGCTGCTCCTGCATTCATAAAACATGTCAGCTCTCGCATGAAAGAGGGAGCTGAACGATGCAGGAGCTGGCCCCGGGCACGGTGTAGCTGCCGCACGGGGGCAGGCAGCTGAGCATGGGAAAAGCCCTACAAAAAAATACCCCAAATTTTTGACAGTTGGCTGCAGGTAGACTGGGTTTAATGAAGCTTTCCCTCTGCAACTGCTTCCCAGGAGGGACCTCATCTACATAGCGACATGGTGTTGTGGCAGGGCAATGGGGAGAAGATCCCAGTTCCCAATATCATGTGTGTGTAAGTTTGCCCAGGAAAACTCTTGGCTAAAACCAGGTTTGAGCTGGGAAAGTTCCACCACAGCACCCATGATATCCTAGAAAGTGCAGCATGTTCTTGTGAGCCCGCACTGCTCTAAGCAACCCCCCTGAGCCCAGTCTGTTCTTTATCCTGGAGCAGGAACACACAGTGGATGTGAAGGAGGCTGCAGGGAGTGAACAGCGATGTTGTGATGCAGATGCTTTGTGCTAATTGTCACCTGAGTTTGGGGCTGGGATTCCTCCTGGGGCATTTCTTTGGCTGGCAGTGCTGAGGGCTGTCTCCTGGTGATGCTCAGAAATGTCTGGGGGGAGGCCAAAACTGCCTGTGCCATGGACGAGGTGTGGGAGAAAGGTGAAACGTGGCTAGTTGGGGCTTATCTGTCTCCATAATATAGCGTGGTGGCATGTCCAGCAACAGCCCCTGCATTGCCTTCTAAACTGAGTTTCTTGACTGTGCCTATGAGCTTGGGCACAGCAGAGTGACTCGAATGAGAAGGGGATGTCTTTGGTCTTAACATCTCCTTCTGGGGCAACCCCAGGCACAGCCGAGCTGCCCCACGTTGCGTGGGACAGCCTAGCAGGAGCTGTCTACCTGCGCAGGAACCACCTCCCCTCCAAACCCTGCGCAGAAGGCAGGGTTTGATCTTGCTTGGCTGATGCCGACCTCAGCCGACGCTCTGTGAAGGAGATGTGCGAAGGAGCATCCTCTGGCACAGACATCCCCTCTCTTTGGGCTGGGCCTGGGCCCAGCGCTGTGCCATGACGGGTTCCTCTCCCCAGCAGGACAAGAAGGCAGTGTCGTGCCGGCAGGACTGGCACCAAACTGGCAACCAGGTGGTAGTCACGGTCTATGCCAAGAACCCCCTGCCCGCCCTCAGCAGTGTGAAAGCCAACCGCACCGTGGTGAGTGGGGCAGGCAGAGCTGGGCTGGGGACGCGTGGGTTCTGATGAGCCGACAGCCGGGAGCCGGCCGGGTGCCCGGTGTGCTTTGACGGCCCATTTGGTCTGTTGCTGCAGCTGGGGTTGGCGCTGCTGACCTGCCGCCCCCAAGCTCCGAGCCTGGCGGCTT